TGTACATATATGTATATATATACATATATATATATATATATGAATATAGTCATCCCGCACACCTCTCTGATCCAGATTTGACCATCTTTACCCGGTCGCAATCGGGGCTTAGCTCCCCATTTGACGCAAACTCTGAGAATCCCTGTCTCAAATAGGAGAACCTTAGCCTCAACTGTGGTTTCCCGTTGGTTCCCTTCAAAATGTGAAAATCACTGGAGAAACCCACACACCCATACTTGTCAAAGGGTCCCTTGGTTTATAAGCATCTACTTTGCCTCCTTTCTGGCCCCTTAAAGCACATGTTCTTCGGCCCTCGGACCTCCAACATAATTGTAAATGATGGGGTCCCCGTGTTCCCTTACTTACTTGCAATAATTACACTCACTCAGACTAACATGGAAGCTCCCAGGACCCCTTGAAAAGACTTGGTTCCATTTACAGACGGCTTCTGGCAGCTTCCATGTTAGGCTGAGGGAGTGTAGGGCATCTACCGTCTGAAAGAAAAGAAGAAACAACAAAACATATACTTGCAATAAGTAGGGCATCCACCGTCTGATTAAACAAAAAAAATATCTCGCGCGAACGCTGGGCCGCGGCGCCGACCGCTTCTCCGGCCCTTCGATGGCGGTCTCCAGGACGAGGCGCTCCTCGTGCGCCTGGGGAACAACTCATGGGGTTTCTTCCTGGAGCAAAAAATGTTCCACCGAGTGGTTTCTTTACAGTTCCATGTTAAACCTGCAGGGTAGGGAATCTTGGTTGACGTTGGAAGGGAGCAAAACATATTCAGGTTGAAATGTCTGTGGCTCAAAAAACCGGAATTCCAAAATGGCGGATGTTCCCAGGATGTTACCCTAAACCCTAAACCCTACACCTTGGTTGACGTTGGAAGGGGAGCAAAGTCTTTTTTGTTTGCAGTTCAGTGGTTGGATTTCAACCACTAAACCACAACAAGCAAGAATGTGAAATGTTTCCCAACAACAACCATGACAAAGGGCTGTGAAGTGACTCAGCGCTGTGGCTGAAATAGAATGCAATGCGATACAACAAAAACAGCCTCCCAAAGACTAACCCCTCGATAGAAAGGAGGGATTCGTTTAGAAACCCATACAACCAAAAGGGCCTAAAGACCCAGCCTATATTTTAGAGGGCTCATGAGGCTTCAAAGTGACAACATGGTTGAAATGGGACATGGAATGCACGCCGGTATTGGACTTCCCAAAAAGGCTTCGGCGTACAAAGGGCTGTGGGTCAAATGGGATGTGGAGAGCGTTCAATCAATCAAAATGGTCGACCCAGAACCATGCTTCAAGAATTATTCAGGCGGCCGCAGCTATTTATGGCAAGGGGATTGTCCCTTACTAACCTTCATCTACCCGAATTGGTTTTGATTGTGGCTCTGAGGTTTCAATCAAAGAGCGGTCCATGCAGTTGGCCAAACGCTGCTTGAACGCAACAGCTGCGGTATGTATCTTGGGCCAACTTCCCCTTTCCGCTACAGGAAACCACCTTCACAGTGACAAAGGGCTGTGGGTGAAATGGGACATGACATCCACTTGGCCGGTGGTCTTTTTTGTTGGACCTCCCAAAATGGCTTCGGTGTTCCTTTTTGTCCGGCCAAAAAACACCAGCAAATGGTACCCGTAAAAAAGACACAACCACTTCTGTGATGCAAACAGGGCCTAAAGACTAGCCCCCCCATAAGGAGGGATTCGCGAAGCTATCTCACACAAGTGGAGATGAACCCCTTGATCCTACAACCCTGCTGAATAAACAATTCAGCTTTTACTCAATACTGTGAATGGTTGCGAAATCCTCTCAGGCACCACCGCTCAGAAACCCTGGAATAATGTAAATACCAACAACTGTTGTGGTTTCAACCATGGTTTCAATGTGGTGCAGGATTTCGTCCATCCACAGTATAAATCAGGCCCAGGAAGGGCTCTTCAATAAACCCCTCAGCTATTCATCAGCTCCTGGAAGCAAGGATTCCCCATTTAGTGACAATCCTTGGTAGTCCATACACCCCTCAATCAGGGGGTTGATCGGACCAACAAATCAGAATATTAGAATAGGGTTCTGGAGACTTGAAACTCAAGTCGAGAGTCATAGGTGGATGGACTTAATCCTGCACCACTTGGAAATCATGGGAAACCATTGTTTGTTGGTATTTACAGGGGAATCATCATTCCATGGTTTCTTAGGTGGTGCAGGATTTCGTCCATCTACAGTAGGTGGGCGGGTCATTTTGGGCTGAACCTTCAGATTTGACACGGTTGCCCCACTGCGCCTTGTCCCGGCGCTTCGGCTTCCATTCGCCGGGCGCTTGGGGCGCCCTGGAAAGGACTACTCCCGGGATGAACATGGAGCCAAAAACAAACACCCAACCATGAACATCCCAATAACCGCAAACATCCCAATGAACATCCCAATCCAACCACTAAAATAGAATCTAAAATGGGTGGTGAATTCACCTACCAACCAAAATGGTACCATTGGTTTTGACCCACAGCCATATGTCCAGTAGTGCTAGACTAGGTCCTCCAGTAGAGAGGCTTAGAATAGCGGTACCAACTTTTTCTGTCTATTTTAGTAGGGAAGCCCTCCCCCAAAAAGGTAAAAGGGCACCGCTGGGGGACCTAGCTTCTTTTGTCAAGAGGAGTTTCCTTTCCGCTCACCCTTGGCGGGCGCCATGTCGATTAGCAAGGGAACCTCCAATCACTAGAAACCAATAAGCGCTGCCTGCAAAACCGATAGCCGCAACACATTGTCCACTGCCCGCGAGGAATCGCCAGCACGCGCCTGGACCATACAATGTGCAGTTAAATCAAGTTGCACTTGGATCCAACCAGCAAACATGGACGTGCAAAGAGCCTCTTTCCGATCTTGCGAAACCCGAAGCACCACCTCACACATCTCTTAGGCGGGAGCTATGATCTTGTGGCGCTGAATGGGACTCTTCCGCACAGTCTGCTCCGACAGCAAACATGGGGTGTGTCTTTTTTGGTGGCACCCTTTGTGGGGTTGGATGAAAGGGAAGCCAAAGAGAAACCACCATTGTTTTGAGGTGTCCCTATTTGCAAGACAATCCACAGGGAGCAAAGAAGATCCCAAATGGATAGTAAATCCGCTTGGTGACACTTATATATAGAATATAATCTAGGACATTCAGGTTCCTTCAATGGTAAGAGTCTTTGTCTTCTCCTCACCCTGTCACCTTCAATGTGGCTCCCAGAATGCGAAAGCCCCCACAGGTTCGCTTTGTAAATATGTTTTTCTCCCTCCACCTAATATGTGAGCAACTATTCGCTGTAATATGGCTATTAGATATTTGGACTAGGGTGTGAGGTGCTTTCAAACCCCATTTAGGCACAACCACAGAAAGATCGGTATTGCTACCATCCCGGGTTGCCACCCCTGGAGGCCACCTAGTTTGGTTGCCCTTCTGTTTCCACCGCAAAAAATAATAATTTCGGTGAGCCCATGGATCTTTTTAGGGAGGGGTGGTGTTCAGTCCCCATCACCCCCTTGATCCCCCGGAGCCCGAGGATGAGAACAGATGACACGCTGGCCTTTGGGCCATGGGCGGCAAGCACATGGGAGGGCCCCGGACCTGAGGCCAGGTCTCAACCAACGTCTCAACCAAAAAAACCTGGAAAAAGCTTGGCCCTAAAACTAAAGGCACACGGTCCAAACATGGGCCTTCGTCAGCTTTCATGGAAAGAGAGGGTGGGCATGAGGTTGTGGCTTTGTGCCCCGTGAGGTTCAGTTGCGACCTGGAAAAAGGGCGGCGCAAGCTGAAAGGTTGGCACGTCCCTAGCGAAAACCCTCTAGGGCCAAACCAGTTTTGGAGGTTAGAATAAGTTGGTACCCACTTTTTCTGCAGTCTATTTTAGTAGGGGAACCAAAAAAAGGAGAGAGAAGGGCACTACTGAGGGACATAGATGGCTCCATCCTCGACCTTTCCGAACCACACCACCGCCGCAGTGCAGTGTTCACGCCAACGATTGCTGGGTACCCACTTTTTCTGTAGTCTATTTTAGTAGGGAAACCCTCCCAACCAAAAAAGGGGAGAGAAGGGCACTACTGGGGCACCTAGACATGGTCCATGGAAAAAGCCCCTTTCTCAGCTTCCATGGAAAGAGAGGCTGAGGTTAAGTGGGTTTGTGCCCAAGACGCCCGACACTGGGTGCGGTTGTTTTTTCGTGTCCTATTCAATCAAGCAAACAAATGGTACCTAAGAGATCACACCATTTGTCATTTGCAAGCAACTCGCAGAACCGAGTCAAAACAACCAACCACCGCGCAAGGATGGACATGAGCGCCAGCCACGGCCTGCTCCTGTCAGTAAATTTAGGGTATCGTCTCAAGACTGCGGAATGCATACATCTAGGGGTACCTTCCCCATTCTTTCCTGGCATCCTTCTTTCTAAAAGACAACCCAAAACCCTGGGGAAACGGATCCGGCTGTTGAAAAGAACGATGGTTGAAAAGAATGGACCAGGAATCAACCCCTAGAATACGGGCCCCAAGAATACGCCTTCATTCCGCCATTGGCATTGATGTCGAGTCACCATTCCCTGGTGGCAAAATTCGGTGGTGCCCAAAGGGGTGACCCAACAAAATGAGTTTGGCTCACCTGAGGTGTTTGGGTTGTGACCCTTCCGGGGCTCGTTTCTGCGGCTTTTTCCACAACCTTATAGGCATACCACACATCCGGAACAGCAGGGAGAAAATAGGGAAGCCACCCTGCCCTACCCCGATGTCAACACTTGGGCAAAGGCTGCACGCAAACAAGGAATGCGTTAACCCCCGCCCCCCCGCACCAAACCAAAAGTCTGCCTACACGCAGTCAGAATAAATGCAGAAACCCACTGCAGGTGCCTCAAGGAAGTGCCCCTGAATCTACTGGATACAAGAATAGACTGGTGGACAATGTAATGGAACACGAAGTGGACCAAACTTGGCTTGCAAATGAAAATGTGTAAGCAATACTCACAAGCGCATAGGAATACCTTTTGTACTTGGCTTGCGTACTTCGATATCCGACATCAGGATCGAAATATTAGTGGCAGCTGGATGTAGGTGTGTGGAGTGTTGAAGCAACACAAAACAAGAACCCCCCCCATCCCACCCCAAACCTGACAAATGGCTGATCCTGACCATATGGCAAAACGGGTTGCTACCAAAAACGACAACTTGCTGCTTGATCATGGAAGGAGAACGACCCCGAAGGGCAAAAAGCTGGACGCGTGCGTTCCTTTGTAAACATTGTTTTGCTTTAACAAACAAAACAGCAACATTGAGCTTCCTGGAGCCACTAGTTGAACAACACCCTTTGGTCCTGGGGAACTGACGGGCTCCATTTGGTTTCTCGCTGGGCGACCGGTTGCTATGCCTGGTTGCCAGTCGCATGCAGAAAGCTGGACATTACTTGCCAGCAACCAACAAAAGGGTGAACCTTGACTTAAAGAAGAAACAAAAGAAAACCGAAAGGCTAGGGTAGCGCTGGCAAATGAGTTCACTGTGGGCTGTTCCCAACATCAAGGCTTGAAAGTCCCAACCAAATGGCAACCGTTGGTTGTTCTAACCAAGGACCGTTTCTCAAAATAGGAAAATCGGTTAAGGTCCTAAAGTGGCAACGATCGTTTTTTGGTGTCCCTTAAATTACCAACCAACAGGGGGTCCGAATCGCAGTTCAAAAAAAATCCGAATAGGCTTGTCTTCTTTTGAGGGAAGCCCAAGAATAAGTGGCTTCGCGTTGGTTTCCCTTGAGAACCAACCCTCAAGGGGGGATTTTCAAAACGCACACACCTGAATCTTCCGATGAGCGCTATTTTCCGCTCGTGCAGATTTCCGCGCGTTTATCTGAAAAGCGCTTGGTTCAAGAAAAAAGTTCGGATGTGGATATTGAAAAAGAAGAAACTGTTCATCGTGTGGGCTCGGTCTTTCTGCAACTCATGTTCAAGATTTGCAGAGGGCGCCGAACGTGGCAAAACTAGCACTTTTTGATGTGCGCTCGAGTGGCGGGAAATTGCGCTTTCGTAGCGGGAATGTGAGCTCGTTGTGCGGCCTTGCCCGTTTCATCTAGGAAAGCTGCTGCTCTGTTCAAAACATTGACAGCATTGCGCAACGTGTTCTCCATACGCATCCATGCAAGATCCTGTGCGGATTGCTTTAGCTTTACACAAAAGGTGCATGTTTTTTACGAGTCCTTTCTTGTTGGTTTTCCATGTCGTTTCCCTCTAAAACCAGCCAGAAGGGGGGGAACCAACTCATGGTGTGTCTTTTTCAACGGGAAACCAACAGCGAAACCAGAAACTTTCCAGTCCAAGCCCCGAGTTTGACACACGCCCATGACAGAAGAAAACCTCCATTTCCTTAAGTCCCCAGGAAAAATGAGAACATATTTCATGTAGTTCTAGGTTCCCTGTAAAACCAACAGGGAAAATACCATTAAACAACAACAAAAAACAACATCCATATACTTTTTGAAAAAACAACTCCTGTAGTGATAGATTTCTTTTAAAACTAAGCAAATGGAAAGAAGACAAACAAGCCTTTCAACCAAAACCCTTCAAACCTTTTAATCCAACAGGGATCCTTACATTATACACCTGAACATTGCCTTGTAAATGGTGGTCTCCCTTTATTTGGGCGGAAGGTTGCAACATGTAGATCTTTTATGGAGCCCCTGCCCAAACATATTCCTTTCAGCTGGAGGCAAATGGCCGACCTCCCAGCGATATTTCCGGCGCGTCGGGTCTCCGGGCGCCGTCCGGTCGCAAGTCGCCCGGCTTGAAGGGCCCCCTCCTTGGGAGAACGGGCGCCGATGTCCTTTCTTGGACTCAACGAAAACTAGGTCCAGTAGAGAGGTTAGAGTTTAGAGGGTACCAACTTTTTTTCAGGGTTTAGGGTTTAGAGTTTGTTTTTTGGGGTTTAAAGGGCTATAGGGTAGGGTTAGAGAGTTTGGTTTAGGGTTTTGTTAGGCCTAAACTAAAAACACCACGAAAGGGGAGAATTGTCCCAAACCAAAGGACACTTTTTTGGCATTGATTCTCACTGGCTGTGGGAAAAAACGGGGATCACCTGTTGGGGCCTTTACTCAAATTGGTTGCCAAAAAGGGGAACAATACAAAAGGTTACATGAAGAACTGAGCATTTGGAGGGTGCCCCTGAACTGATCTATGGGTTTCACTACCACTACCCTCAGGGTTAAATGGTTTATACAACCATAGAGCCACCGTATAAAGTTTCAAGGGTGTATACTCACTGGCTGAGTGGATGGACCAAAAAAAGTCCAAACTTTATCTGTACCACTAAAATGGTCCTCCCAAAAAGTTCAAAGTTCATGAACTCAGGAAGTGAGATAAAGTTTCAAGGGTGTATATCTCCCGAGTTTCCCTTTCGGATTCTTTTTCCGGACTTCCCAACCTTGGAGAGATCGAAGGTTCAGCTCCTTCCCAAGCTTTTGGGATGAGGACACACGCGAAGGGTGCTTTCGATTTCCACAGGGGTCCAATTCTCGATACGTATGAGCCCCTGGCTTCCGGGACCGAGTGCATCTTCAAGTACCCAGGAAAGAGGCAACGGATATTTGAAAAAATCAGAGGCTAGGTCCTCCAGTAGAGAGGTTAGAATAAGGGTACCAACTTTTTTTGGTAGTCTATTTTAGTAGGGGAGTTTCCCAACCAAAAAAAGGGGTGAGAGAGGGCACCTAGCTGGGGGACCTAGTAGGCGTGTACACGATGCTTCAGCGTTTGGCGGTCCGTTTCATCCATCACTAGAAGCCAACTTCTGATGTCCCAGCGATGAAATCGTGCTTGCTTGATCCGCATGTCAGAGGGGCGCCCAACGTTGCTTTCGAGCCCACCCTGCTTTGTTGGACTAAATAGAACGACGAACTCGAATCAGTTGAATGCCCGGCACCAATTGTGCCAAAAGTGAAGCCATGAAGATCCTGAAGGCTTGATGCAACCGGCCCGCATCCTTTCAAAAGCTGAAGAGAAGCACATGTCCTCTTATGCTATTGCTCGCATGCTGCAAGCAACCGGATACATGACTCTCTGGACCCTCGAAGGCTATTCAAAAGAGCAAACACATGTTTATTGTGCGACCATGTCATTTTGTGCCACCTTCAACATGCTTCCTGATATTGGAGCTCAACCAGCCTGGTTGCCAATTTGTTAAGCTTTCTCGCTCTCTCTCCTGCTGCCCAAAGATGCCATGGCGGCAAGCGGCAAGTCAGCGCATGGGAATGGCAACTTGCCTCTGCCGATTTGCCTTCCGCGGTCTCTGGATGCCAACGTTTTCTGGATGGTGATGTCTCCAGCATTTTGGTTTTCAGGGCAGTTTGGTCCTTCGCCGTGCTCGCCCTCCAAAGAACCCGACCCTGCCTTGAGCAGCCAAGCCAGGCCATGCGACTCAATCGCGCACAAAAATGCCCTGGTTCTTAGACTCGGAGGAAACCTGACAACTACTTGGGTGTCTTTTTGAGGGTTCCCGATTTCTTGGGTGGTTTCAAAGGAAAACCAGAAGGAACATTACTCATCTTGGTGGGTCTCCTACAAAAACAAGGTCCTCGGAACTAGAAGCATCACGTCAGCTTGCTCGCAAGCTACCAGCACAACCTCTCGTAGCAGTGAAATAAACTAGGTTTTCCAGTAGAGGGGTTAGAATAAGTTGGTACCCGATTTTTTTTCTGTAGTCTATTTTAGTAGGGGAGCCCTCCCCCAACAAAATGGGTAAAAGGGCACCTAGTCAATCTGGGCAAAACCGGCCTTATGCAACCAGACACATCGGTCAGAAAGGCCGGGGTGTGCCAAGGCAAGACGCTTCCCCCCTGTTCTTTCTAGGGCTAGCTTCCATTTCCATTCTTTCCAGGGATCCGGATCTTTCTGGCAAACCTCCTTTTGAAACCCGATCGGGAAAACGGATCCGGTTGAAAAGAACAATGGTTGAAAAGAATGGAAGGTCCCTTTCTCTGGGCTGTCCGTTTTCAGATCCCCCGCTAAAGGTGAAGAACGTTGAGTGGGTGAAATTCGGAAATCCTACCACTTTACACTAAAAGGCTGAAAAGCTGAGAGTATGGCTGGGAACCACCAAGTTCTAAGGAACCACTTCTGGGTTGAAGGGGCCCTGCTTTTTTGCCGAACACTTCTCTGCTGTCAGGCCACGCTTCCTCCACGTGACAAATTTTACGCGTAGGGAGTACATGCGAAAACGCCTTTCAAGCGGGGCCCAAAACAAAGCAACGTGTCAAAATGAGGGGACCGCACAAACAGTCGTTGTCCTTTCGTTTCCGTTTAAGCCAATGATGTTCTTGGGGATTCGAGCACCATTCCACATTCTGGTAGGTAATTAGGGCCTTCTTATGCGGAGCCCCAAAGACTAGACCGAGACAAAGCCTGCAGAGCTCACATTTTCACACCCGCGCGGATTTGCTTTGCGCGCGGTCGGCCATGTTGACCGTTTACCTATGCCTTTGCAGCGCCCTGCCTTTTGCAGGACGACATCCCGACATCCCAGTTGGCCCCAGCTCGGGGTCTTTGGAGTCCGTGGTTCGTGGGAAGCCATCAAACCAAAAAGGATTTGGGGTGACACTTGGCGGCTCTTAACGTCCGCGTTTTCGGGCGGTTTTGTTGTTGCCTGAAACTGCCTGAAATCGTTAAGAGCTCACTGATGACAGTAAACAACTGGAACCTTGGCTTCCGCCGTTGCTCCCTGGATTGGAATTGAAACATCCTTTGTATTTGCACACCCCGGCGATGTTTTGTCCAGAGCCCATGGCAACGTCTCACCCATGCACTGGGAGAGATACCCAGAGACCTCGCCGATCTCTCGTCATTAGCTTTTCCTGCCAGCTGCGCAAATGTAGCTGTGTCTTTCTTGCTCGGGGGAACCTGTTTTGGTCGGCTTGACATTGAAACCAACCAGGTCTTTTGGGAGGGTCCATGTGCGGATGAACACTGTAACACGCTCTCAGGACTTTGTTGAAAGGCATCAGGTGCAGTTAAACAAACATGAACATGCCCTCCTTCGTAGATGATGAACAACTGCACCGAAAAAGTGTAGCTCCCTCATGTCTGATGACTGCTCACATGCAACCTCAGGGCTGCCTGCAAGATTAAACTTTTCAGTCTGAGGCTTGCCCAATCAAACTTTGCCTCCGTACTCGGAGGCTTGTTGCCAACTCTGCACCCTGAACTCCACTTGGGTATGGGTCAAAATTAAACGACCAGGGGACCGCAGGTCTTACTCCATGTTTCCATTTACCAAGGCAAGCCATTTTGGGGTTACAATATTTTTGACCCCTACTTGGGACTGGTAACCGGTTTAAGCCACTGACAACTTGCCTTGCACGCCGAACTTTGTTCCATCGCCTTGACCCGTTTTTTTTTCGGCTGGGGTGGCCCGGTCTCAAAGGGTCGGTTTCCATGGCTCAGTTCTTCAGTGACCCCGGAGAAAAAAAGGGAACCCTGTTTGGGGCTTGGACCATTTCTACTGGGGACACCAACAAAAAAGGGAAAAAGGATGCCACTGAACAGCTGAGATGGAGTTGGACTTGAACCCGTCCAAGACACTTCGGGGGTTTTTAGGGATCAGCTCATGGCAGGATCGGGTCCAAATTCACCCGGAAGAGTCGGGATCGGAAGGTTATGTTCTGCACAAAGCTCAACGGGCTCGCCCATTCGGGAATAAAGCGAGCACATGCATGATGGTCCGTTGCTTGGGGTTCCCTAGGGGTTGTAGCAGCAAAACACCTGACGTGGTCAAACCAACGTGGTCAGGCAAAATGCATTTTGCAGCAGGATGCACCCTTGCCACATCCTCGGCGCATCGCTGACTCAGCACGCGGGACGCAGCACGATGCAACATGCAGCGCTAGTTCGCTGCGTTTGACGCAGTGCCGGCGCATTGCCGACAGCACGTGGGAAGCAGCACGGAGCACGGACGCATCTCGACGTGTTTCACCTAATTTTACGTAACTCTGCTCTGCGTTCGTTTGACCACGTCAAGCGTTTGCCTGTCTTATTGTCAGTTGGCAAGAGAGTTTCATGGGATGAGATGCTTGATTGATTCCGGACTTTTTGTTCGCGTGACAACTCTACAAATGATTGGCTAGATTCTTTTGGCAGTTCAATCAGTACCCCAAGCGGTTTACGTTGAAGGGGATTCCCTTCGCAAACCCAACTTTTCCACAACTTTGCCGGAACAAAAGATCAAACCCAAATTGTCCACACTCTGTTGAGTTGCCCCGTTGTTCTTAAGAGCCATAGCAATGGGAGGCATTGCAGTCTAGCGACTATTGTGAACTTCCCACTAATTGGTGGGTTGGGTTGGTGGGTCGGTGCCTAGGGAAAGGGGTTCAAATCTGCCCACAAGACGACGGGACCCGTTCAAATCCAAATCCAAAGCACCCATCCAAACCACCAATTCGTGGGAATCTAATATTGGCGACCTGTGGGTGGACGAAATCCATTTCGCAGCATTTTGAAAGCATAGCAAGCCATAACGTTGGCAACGGTATTTACAGGGGGCGCGAATCACCCCAGGGTTTTTTGGGTGGTGCCGAGGAGTTCGCGTCCACAGGCGTCATGAAAGGAGGGGCCAACTTTTCCACCGAGCCCCCAGGCCGGTTCTCGCCTGGGCTCAGCGCCGGCGCCGGCCGGGGACCTGGGCGAAGAAAACTGTGCCGTTGCTTGTTGCAGTGCCACTTTCAGGTGGCTTGTTTCCCATAACGCAAGTGTTCACCGGAAACACCCTTCTGGAGTCATTGTTTTGACTGTTTTTGGGGGTTGTCAAAGTCAGAAACTGGTTGGCGGTTTCCCTTTAACCTACCATTTAGGGGGTGATTTTGATAGTGGTGGAATAATGGGGCCAGCCAACACCCCTTGTCGAGCATGATCTCTCACAGTCCCCAGTGCCAGCAGCTGAGCTTGGCCAATCAACTGGGGTCAGTACCTGGACTGTTTCTGGGGGGTTGACAAAGTCAGACACTGGCTGGTGTTGTTCGGATCAAACGATCGAAGTAGGAAGTGACATATGGGTGTGGCTCAAATTTCAAGACCTGGGGTTACGCAGGTTTAAGTCTTTGTTTCCATTTACCAAGGTGCCATGTTGGATACTTTTTTTGAGCCCCATATGGATGTTGTCTTTTTGTAGGGGACAAAATTGTTGGTTTCCTCTTGGTTTCCCTTTAGGTGTTGTTCCAACTGACTTTTTGTTTCAAATTGCTTTCGCAACTCCATCGCATATATTTTATTGCCGGAGGTAACTCAACCGACACCGATGGCCACTGAATACTAAATTCCTTACATTTGTCTTTTTTAACAACTTCCGTCTCTCTCTTTCTCTCTTTCTCTCGCTGCCTCTCTCCATGTATACACATACATGGAGGCATATACAAATATATATGTACTATATATATACATATGTATATATATATATATATATACATACACATATGCAGTTGGGTCTGCATTGTGTGAACATAAAAACAACAGCAGCATGTAACGCCAAATGTTGTACAACCCAGCAAAAGCAAACAGCACTCGCGACCTGCACGAGTTAAGTGACAAATGAGCCTCGAAAGTCCATTCTAATTCGGGATATGGCTCTGAAACAACCCTGTTGCCTGCTTGCTGTCCACTTCCGTCTATGTGACTGAGCCTGAAAAGTCCATCGGAAACATGTGGCTCTAAAACAGGGCTGTGGGAAATGCCCACTTCTGTGATACAACAACAAGGGCCTCCCAAAGACTACCCCCCCCCCCCATTTTTCAGAGGATTTTGAGGAGTATCACAGAAGTTGCTCTAAAACGACTCTGTTTTATGGGGGCTGGGGAGGAGAGGGGGAGGGAGCCCAAATAAGCCCTTATTAAGCCCTTAATAAGATTTGGCCTCCCCCCCCGCCTCCCCTCCAGTTTTCATGACTGTTGGCTGTCCAACTCCCCGATCTCCGGAGAGCATCATCTCAGTCCCCAACTGCGGAGGGCGGCGGCGGAGTTCGATTCCTCCGGGTTGCAAGGAGCCCGGGCTCCCAGCGGTCGAGAAATTCCTCCACTCATTTGATGCCCAAAGCCTTCAAAAATATCTCCATGGTTTCAATCCCACAAAGTACAGCATGTTGTTGGATTTTTTAAAGAATTGATCTCATTTTGATTTGCCTTTTGCTCATGTGCCACGATCACAACGGTGCGGGTGATGGTACCCGAGAGAAAACCTTAAATGCCCGTCTTTGTCCTAGGGTTGCCGTGTTCAAAACGTGTGGAGATGTGTGAGCATGGGGCGGTCCTGATTGCCTCTGCTCTTCCGAGCCTGCTGCTCAGGCCAAAAAACACATGCAGGCCAGGGGCCAATGAGGGGCCAATGCAAAGTGCGGTGTTGCCCCAGGATGAATAAACCCGTCCATTATTGCGTTCCCTCCAAAAGTGGTCTGAATCCAACCACCAAAAGGGGACGACCCCCCGATCAAAATCAACCAGGGGTTTCTCTTCATCCGGGGTTAACGTTACCCATTCTTGGGGAGCCAAGATTTTGGAGGAGTCCCCTAGAAGCAAACAAACCCACATTTTCTATGAAACCAAAATCCAGAGTGCTCGGGCTGGGCACTGCTTGGACTGCAGCTGTTTGGGCGGAAAACCGCAGCAAAGCGACTAACTTGGGAACGGGGTTTCGGAGCTGTGAGCCCCGAATATGAGTCTCAGTTGTTCTGTGACCCTGGAGAAAAAAGGGAACCCTTTTTTGGCACATGGCGCATCCGCGATCGGCTGCGCTAATGAGTGGGGCGGCATGCCCCACCACCAGTAACGGAGGCCCTCAGGGCCGTGACACGACAAAGCTCCTCGGAGAGCCAAAGGCTCAATCCGCAGGCCGGGTGAGCAGGCCCACCGGCGCACTGTACGACAAGGCGCGCCGGGCAAAACCCCGGCAGCCACCAAGAAAAGGGGCAGGCACAAAACTGCTGTACAAGCGTAGGGCCCGAAGTTGGACAAGCAAGCCCAAGGAAGTCGGGACCTCCGGAGCCACTGGCACACGCCACAGGGATATGGAAAGCACCATGAGGCCATGAGGTAGCAGCCCTAACGACCCAAGGGCACGATGGGCAAGGCAGCCCGCATCACCACCGCCAAAGAAGCCCAAGGTGTCAAAAGGGCACAACCCACACACAGGTAGACCCGCCCAGAGAAGCAGATGCAGAGCGTGAAGAGAACGAGGCGTCAAAGGGGCCGAAGGCGCACCCATAAGAAAGGGGGTGTCTCGAGGCTGGGACTGACCCAAAGGCCAGGATGCCTCCCGGGTGAAGCGGACCGGCAACGAATGCGTCACCAAGCGGATAAGCTCCCCGAAGACGACACATCACAAACACGGCGAATGAAGAGGGTGACCAGGGGGTGCACGAGGAGCAGGAGCTGCCAGCCATGGCTTTTTGGACGCAGGACCGGGCAGTGGAGCCCCAGCCCTGCCCCGGGGCTCAGCTCCCTGAGCCGAGGGGTGCTTGAACCCGGACGGCGAAAAAAAAAAAGGGAACCCTTTTTGGGGAAGACCATTTTTAGTGGCGCCACCAAAAAAGGGGAAAAAGGGTGCCATTGAACAGCTGAGGAGTTGCTCGGCCCGAGCAATGCTAATCTTTAGTGCCAGTTGTCTTGATACGGACTTAGTCAAGATGTCCAAGTTATAGCTGATGTCAGTCCACACGAAATGCAAGTACCCCGTGTTGATTCTTTTCTTTAGGAACTACACCGAAGCGTGCACCGCATGAAAAGGACAGCTCTGCAAAAGCAAACACTCTTGGATGCATCGAGAAGCTTCTGAAACCTGCCAGTCGGAGGCGCAGGCAGGGTTCCATTGTCCATTTTCCCAGACTTGTCTCCAGGAGTTCCCTGTTGGAGAAATCAACCACCACTGGGTTTAAGTTTAGCTCCGCTAGGTCCTCCAGTAGAGAGGTTAGAATAAGGGTACTTTTTTTTCTGTAGTCTATTGTGGGGAGCCCTCCTCAAAAAAGAGGTGAGAAGCTGGGACAAGCACTTCCTGGCAAGGTGCGTACTGCCGACCCCCAGGGTCAAGGACATCCTTTAACAGGCGCACATCGATGTGGACCCATCGATGGGCCCCAGCCTCAACACCTGAACAAACTGAGGTCAGCCCCTTGCATTGCAAAATAATACCACGACATGAATGACTCCATGCCAACAGCAACAAACATGCGAAAGTCTTCCTTGTGAGCTGGGCTGGCAGGCCAGCGACAAACACCACGGCGCATGCCAGAATATTTGGCTCAAAACGCATCGCAGTTGTTCTCAAACATCATCTGTTGAGTTTCCTTCTTAGGCGGGAGCAAGTTGCAATCAATCCCAGCTGGGAAATTTGACCGGAAGGGGTCAATGGTCTACACTTGTGTTTCCCATGGGGAGGTAGTGGTTGATGCAACCACTGCTTCCCCACAGCATGGGGCCATCCTTCCCCCATCTTGAGGCATGAAAGTGAACCTATGAGCGCGACCAATCCACTCAAATGGATTTCGGTGTGGGTTTCCCTTACCCAAGGGTACCGAGCCGCAAAAACACCGGCCGTCACGGGCTGGACACAAGTAAAGCAGGGCCAAGGAAGGACAAGCTTTGATCCAGGAATTCCGAAAATTTCGAGGACCCAGTTAAACCATAGTTACACCATAGTTAACCATGGCCAAACCATTTGCGGTCCCAGAAAACCCTGAAAACCCTGAAAAAAGGTCCCTAGGTATTCTGACCCAACCATGGCGACCGAAGAAACCAGCCGTCCTCTCTTCGCCGGCCAAGTGTTGCGCCAAGCGCCTGGGTCGAAGTTCGTCCAGATCGGACCCTGTTTTCGTGTCTTTGCGCGGCGAGGGGCCTCGGTGCTTTCTGCTCCCCTGCTGAAAGTGAATAACTTCTAGTGGTTTAATGGAAAACCCATTACTTGGCAAAAAGGTTTTCAGTCCTAAATCTCTTGGCGAAATGCACCAAAGGAGCAACGCACAGAGGCAACCAGGGAGACAGAGCAGGCGGAGATGAAAACAAAGCGAGGCACAAACACACAGAGACGAAGAAGACACAAGGGCGAATGTGCACGCATGAAAGTGTACATGCTTGCACAGTCACACACATTTTGACCCATACACACACACACATAGGTAGAGGTGTTTTTTGTTTTACTAGGTCCGGTTTTTTGCTATAGGTCCGGTTTTCCGCAAAGCTGCCAACATCCCCGGCATCACCAACATCACTTGGACCTGGGGTTGCCTATTGGCTCTGATTGGGTAGCAGTTGGCTGGTTTAAGTTAGGGGGGTTTTGGCTGGCTTAGATCTTCATGAGGGTGGGTCTTGGGGTGGTTTGGGGTTGAATTAGGCGAAGCGAAGGGCTGACATCCAGGCTGCTGTTGGGCGGGTTTAGGGTTGACTTTGAGTGGGTTTGGGGTGGCTTGGAGCTGATTTGTGTTAGGTGTGCTGCTGGTTTAGCAGCGGCTTTAGAGTTGCTTTAGCGTGTGGTTAAGATAGTGATGTTGGTGATGCCGGGGATGCGGCCAGCCAACCAACCAGCCAGCCAGCCAGCCAGCCAGCCAGCCAACCAACCAACCAACCAACCCATCACCAGACCTGACAAACACACATACACCAACCAAAACACCGCCCACAAGATACAATAAAAGAAGAATGGTTGAATATGTTTGTGCATGTCTTCCCTAATGCCGAAGGTCCAGTCTGGGTGAATAAATCCTGTCCTGATGAGTCCGAGTGCACAACTTCCCTTTTGGTAGTTTGAGAATGAACCATTTCAGGGTGTCCCTCTGATAACAACGTGGTCCTTCTTAACAGCTGGCTATCCAACGACATATTATTCTCAGTCGCTTGGGTGTTTCGCGTCTATTTGGGATTGACAGGGATGCCGGGGTCAGACTCCTTCCATGCACCAGAGGGTTCCTGTTGCAGACACCGACAACATTGACACAAACACGCCGATTGATTTGCACATATGGACACACACACACACACAGAGTCCAATTGTCATGGACATTTGGTGAGTAGACAAAGACAAACAGAAAGATGTACAATGACACAAACAAACATATCGATTGATTCCGCATATATGGACACGCACACAGCCCAACTATCATGGACATTAGGTGAGTAAGCCAGCCTCGCCTTGTCTCATGGTTTGGCGACTGACCTCCAATGGTGGCAGATGCTTGGCCAGACTTATCTGACTGCCAAAAGTGAGCATTTGGCTGACAGGGGCAAATGAAGGAACAAAGGGGCAAACACTTACGGAAAGCCAAGTCTCAAGTCTAGCAATGAGTAGAGGGTACCCTCAAATTCAAGCACACCTGTAATCCATCCCTCCAGTGGAAAAGGGCCCTGGATTTGGTCAAGACTGACTTCTTCTTTGAACCTCCTTTGGATTGCCCTTGAAAAGAACCTACGTGGTTAAAAGCAACAACAAATAAGACAAACTCTGTCTTTTTTTGAGGGCATCCGTGTTTTTCTTGCGGTTTTTCTCAAGGAAATCACAAGGAGCCCCTTGCGCCTTCTTTAAGAGGACGTCTTTCCGAACAAAGAAAGCAACACGCGCCGCTCGATTTTTTGCCCAATCCGCGCTCGGAATGCCCCCGGACGCCTGAGCTGCTCTTCCCGGTTGTTGCAGCAGCCCAGGCGAGACCTACACGTGACGAGTGACGAGCTCCTATCCCCAACGGTTTGGGGAAAGAGTCGGGTAACACGCTGAAACCCTTTGTTGGGGGGGCGAGAGGCTAGAACAATTACTCAAACACATTTTTTATATGTGTTTGTTGCTTTTTTCCCCGTTCGGGAGGGGCGTAGAATACTCGAGGCCTTCAATGTTTGAACAGTTTTGGTAAAGGTAACACACTGAAGCCATGGGTGGGGGTAGAATAATTACTCAACTCGAGTCATTAAAACTGTTGGATCTGTTGTTTCCCCGATGTTGGTGCAACACCCAGCAGGAAAAGCTCGCCATTTGCGTCTATCAAAGTGGCCATCCCCAAATCTATTGCTATAATAGGAATCCCTTCGGCCAAGCGACGGGGGCACGCGGAACAGCTCGGTTGCTTTCTGCTCCCCTGCTAAAAGCTTAACTTTTAGTGGTTTCATGGAAAACCCATTAGTTGGCAAAAAGTTAAAATCCTCGCATCCAAGCAAAATGCCCAAAAGATATAATATAAAAGACAAAATACCCGAAAATATGACATATATGTTTGGAGTCTTTAGTTGGGAGAGTCCCTTCCCAAACTAAACACAGCAGCCATTTCGACGAAAGAACCTCCTCCGGTGGAAGCCGGCGAATGCCGAGGCGGTGCCTGTAGGCTGCGGTGGCTGGAGGCCCCACGCGGACCTGGCAGTCCCAACGACAGGAACATCCATTTGCTTAAGTCTGCTGGAGAAAAAAGAACATGTCCAGTGGTGAAATCGATTCCCTTTCAAATCAACAGAGAAACTAACGCATGTTCTTAAGAAAATGGAAGCAAAATGACTGCGACAGGAACTTTCTTTTGTTGGAGGCTGGTTTCATCCATTGGTGTGGGGTTAAGGCAGGCGCCTTGATGGTTGATGCCCATTTTTGTTGTTTCAACTTCAAGGGATCTCAAAATGTTGGAGTGGATTCCTTCAGATGTGGCCATGGGTCATAACCTATAGCTCCATTTTGGGCCGGATGAACACCCATGTACCACCTGTTTTGATGTTCACCAGGGGTACAGGGTTTTGACCCACAGCCATGTAAGGGCTGTGCTGCTGAGTTCCTTCCCGGGTAAGATTCGAGCGGTGTGAGGGTCATTGGGTTGCCCACGTGCCCTTTGAGTCCGGGGCCAGCCGGATGGCTTCACAGACAACGGAGTCACAGAGAAACCAGTATTTCGTTGGGCCCATTGTGACATCCTGAAAATGACCAAGGGGTCATGGACCCATTTCTTCAGGGTCATGGAGACTCTAGGTAAATCGTGGAGGTCAGAGGGAAACGCCGCACGCAAGTCGTGTTAAAAACCCTTCAACCCGTTCGCTTTAACGCACCCAACTTAGGGAGATCATACGCCAAGGACACATCGCATCTCAAGGCGAATCAACGATAACACACGCGCACACAAACACACCATAGAGCACAACTGATAAGCGAATCCAAGCTGTGCTGGTCGTAGCCCCACGACATGCTCCTAGGCAGGGAAACTCTAATTCTCCACACAGTAGATTCTACCTCAGTAGAACAGGTTGAACATCAGCCCAAAAGGAAACAGAAGTAATACGAGAAACAAACATCAAAGTATGGTTTTTCCTGGTGTGGCCCATTCAAGCAACTTAGAGCCCAACACTCGGAACGCCTGCAGACACACCTTGACCTGAATCCACTAGGGTGTGCATTTTATGTTCGTTCGGAAATCCCGCAGGACCAGCCGAAGCTTTTTTTGGGGGGCATCCCCTAGAAACAAACAAACAATCAAACGCACGCACACGCCGTGTTTTGGGTGTCGCACTTCTCAGGTCCGGACCCCATTTCGGTAAAGGACATCGAAACCTGCCCAGTCAGAGTGATTCAGGTGATTCGGGTCATGGGAATGGGACCCGCCAAAATGGCGCGGTTGGTTTTACCTGTTGGTTTCCCTTTTATCTTTTAAGCCAGCCAAAGAGGGGTTTCCCTTTAAACAAAATGCACCGATTGTTAAGCCAGCCAAAGAAGGGTTACCCCAAAAAAGAAAACGATGCGTCCATTTGCTTGGTCCGTGGGCTTGGTCTGTTGGTCGAGAGTTCTTCAGGTTGAGCCCAGGTAGAACCCGTCCAAAAGAAATGGTGTCCGGATCCCTGGAATTGGACAATCCCCAAATCAAAATCAACAGGGTTTATTCATCTGGGATCAACATGAGTAACCATAAACACCACCTACTTGTTGGTAGCCACGAGAACCACCTGGAGTCTCCTTCTCGCTCGGGCACCCCATTTTGGATGACCTGGAAATAACAGGTTAACCTTTTGGAACACCGAAACATGGACCAAAACCAAAGGTCTCAAGGTCGATTCGCTTTGGCTGCAACTGGGTGTGTTCTTTTGAGCCAGTGCCGCTTTTTGCTTTTGAAGGTAGATGGCAGAGTTTCCTTGGCAAGTAATAAGGATGACTAAACCAATAGACTTGCACCATGTTATTCTACCTAGAGTCTCCATGACACTGAAAAAATGGGTCCATGACCCTGAAATTTTGGGTCATGACCCCATTTTTTGCGGGTCATGGAGACTCCAGGCACAACAAATGCCTGAAACCAGCCACCGGCTCCTGTCAGAGTCGTTGGGGAACCCTCCCAAGAAAAAAGGGGAGAGAAGGGCACCTGCCCCGGGGGCCTAGGCACTATGTGGGGCTCAAAATTTAAGAGCCAGGGCAAGCCGCAGGTGGTCGTTGTTTCCATTTATTTGAGGGCCCATTTTGGGTACACTTTCTTGAGCAGCCATGTGCTTTCTGTACCTAGTCCTCCTAGTCCTCGACATACACAGCTTGCAGTCCTGTCAGGCGCAAAGCGCAGCAGGTCTCTCCAAGGGCTATCTCTGCTAGGTCCTCCAGTAGAGAGCTTAGAATAAGAATACTTGATTTGTGTCCGTCTATTTTAGTAGGGAAACCCTCCCCCAAAAAAATGTAAAACTTTTTCTGTCGTCTATTTTAACCAAAAAAAGGGGTGAGAAAGGGCACTACTAGGAGACCTAGTTTGGCTTTTTTCCCCCTCCAGCCTCCGATTTGGTCCTCTGTGCCCTGTAGGTATTTCTCGAAGTCCAAGACGGTGAGTACCTTCCCAACCACAGCCCCCCCAGGTCCATTTCCCTAGCTTGCGGAACACATGTGTTAGGGCGAGGTCTTCATCAAACGGGAGACTCCCGACTCCCAACCCAGCGCAAGTAACAGGCTATTGGGGGTGCACAAACTGAAATACGTAGAACACAATCCGGTCCCCTTTCTTTCCCCTCACACGGCACGCCACAAATGCAGACTCTCTGGCACGCAGTTTGGGTCATGCCTATTAGGGTCACGTCATCAAGCAATGCAAACTTCATCTCGTAGTCGGTCACCTGAGCCGCGGCAGCTTTGAACGCCACCCTGATTTGACATTGAACCTGCATCTTGGGAGCGGTCGGACACAAAACATTCTTGCTTGCCCAGGTCGAAAGAAGGATGACCTTGTTTGGTTGCTTACTTCAGGAAGCCCTTCCCAAAAACAGAAACCAACAGGTGCTACTGCCATGTGGACAGCTCTTCTCCCTCTCTAGCTCTTTCTCTCTCCCTCTGTGTCCGTGGCGGTATTGGCTGACAGAGATGGAGAGGCATTCACCTGCCAGTTGCGCTCCCTGACAAGTTGGATAGTCCGACAGTCAACGCTCGCCGGACTCGGTTCAGCAAACCCCTTGCAGTGAAATCAACGACCTGCCACTGAACACGGGCGACAGCTTTGCTATATGCACAGTGTGAATGCAAGGTAAACACACTTTTTGCAAGTATACCAGAGAAGCAAGTATACCGTTGACGCGCGCATGTGCATACATTCATTCGTACATTATACAACATTCCATTCTGTATACACTTAAACCATATACAATTACAAATATAGCCATGCTTGCGAATATGTACACATACATAAACCCAAATAATCAAATACATGTACCATGTGTCTCAAACAAATAAGACTCCTTATGCATAGAGCTTTGGTCCGGGTTGTGTGGCCTCTAATTCAAGAACCATCCATATTGCCCTACCCAGGTTGAATGATGGCTAGTAACCCTCCAAGACATGGCCCAAACAGCGGGATTGTTTCACAGCCAAACGCTGCACGAGACTAGTATCGTCTATTGTTATACATTGCCCGTACGCATACTGTCAAATCTATAAGAAGCCCATTTGTTGGCACATAAGTGTCGTGGCTACATAAGTTTGGAAGCTGGAAACGCATTGCTTGGTCTCTTAGTCAGGCTTGTGCTTAGGAATTTGCCTCAGATCCTGGCGGAAAAGCAACACTCCGCGACTGGACAATTTCAAAACGGTTGGACGAACATATATGCTCATGACTTCAATGCAAGCGCCAAATATTGTGAAAACAACCGGCGAGGGGAGGATTCGCCATCTTCCAAAAGGTTAGACTGTTTCGGTCAATAGCAAACAAGGTGGGAGGCATTGGACATTTCACAAGGTACCCCAAGAGGTCCTGCTAACCTGGGTATTCACACAGCCCATGAGCCACTTTCGAGCAAGGGATCCATCCAAGGTTAAAAAATGGGGACCCTCGAAGTGGTTCCCTACAAAGCCGCTGAAAAAAAGGGGTAGCCTCAACAAAAACACCACTAGTGAATCCCTGCAAAATCGCTCGAAAAGGGTACCTCCACCAAAAAAAACACGGCCCACAAGACCGCGAGTGCGTGTGTGTTTTTTTTTTCCCGAGTCGAAGCGCTAAAAAAAGGCCCAGGACAGGAAGTTGTTGTGTCGCCTCGATGAGCCAGGGCTTAAAGTCCTCCCGGTGGCTTCGGATCAAAGTGGGATGGAGAAAACCTCCCCATGCCATAAGCGGGGTGGGGAGGGAGGGGGAGGGTGGAGGGGGTGGGGGGGAGGGTGGGGGAAAGGGGGAAGGGTGGGGGGGAAAGGGGGGTAAAGGGGGGGGGGGGGAAGGGGGGGGGAAAAAATAGAAGAAGTAGGGGGCCTGGGGGGAAGTCTGTTGATGGTTGCCTGTTATGGTTTTTATGCTCATCTCAAATCTATGTTCCCCCTTATTCGTTTTAAAAGAGGGTTTTTAGGGAGCTTATTTATCGTTTTCGTTAAGGTTTTTAGGGAGCTTATTTATCGTTTTCGTTAAGGTAATCATTTGGGTAATTGCCCCCCTTGTTCATTGTTGGGCTGGGGGCAAACATTTTTTTCATTTGAAAGAGGTAGCCCTTTTAGTAGTTATCAAGTTCTGGGGTGTTGGTGGGTCGTTTGTTTCTTTGACGTTTATCTCTACAATTATTTATTTTTGTTCTACACTCTTGACAATATTTATATCTTCTTCCACTTTTTACATTTCCAAATTCATCAATTGTTTTATCATAAAGACATCTGTTGCATTTGAAGAATTCACCATAGTCTTCTGTTGCTTTTTCTTCTGTCATTCCATAATTATTCATTATAGTTTGCTTCACAACCATTTCTTAATATATCTTAACAACTTCTTTTTATGTGATTTTTATGTGATTGTCTAGTTATGTTTTATAGGTTGAAATTACAGTATAATGAAAGGTTATAAAAGTTTACACTGTTTAATCATATTATAATTAAATATTATGATTAAGCCATGAAATCATTGTTTCTGTTTTCTATAAATTTCAATTGCAACATGTTCGATAGTAATGATTTCGTGTCGTTTCATAGTCTGTTTGGTTTCTTCAACTGCTTGTTCAATATGGTATTGTAATGACGCTCTACTTGAAATCTTATTCTGTTTAGATGATGAATAAGAACGACTGTTGCAAATATTATTATTATACATAATTTTTGAACTAACTACTATTCCAACCTGTATTTCTTCATCATACTTCATCATTCTTAATAATTCTTTTGGTGGTTTCAACGCATATGAAAGCGCTTTATCACCTTTTAAGCATTTATTGCGAATCTCAACATAATATCTACTTTCTCCTACTCGTTCAGTGTAAATAGACGGTTTCCATTTCCTTTGTAATTCTCTTAAAGCATCACACTGTTTCAGTCTTCGCCACCCTTCACTACCATTAATGTAAGTAGTGATGATTGAAACTAAGCCTTCAGGTAAGCTAGCGCAATTCTCATCCATAAAATTATTCTCTGACATTTTACCCTTACTCATTTTTCTCTTAATATATAAGGCTTTTTCTCTTTAAGTAGTTTTGGCTAGGGGTTGCTGGTCGGCTGGTCTGGGTTTCAGGTTTAATTTAAATGTCTTAACCTCATTGTTAGATTATAAAAACTAGGTTTAATCATATTATAATTGAATAATATCATTAAACTAAATCACTCACGCTTTCCATCCACCTATTCCATCCCACCAGAATTCAATAATTCGCATCTGTCCATCTACTAGACTGTCTTCTGTGTTTAGTTTCCGTATCGCTCCCGATAAGATATAGTGATTAATAATCATAGCATTAAACTGCCCATCTCGGTTTAACTTTTTACCACAGTCTTTTATGATGTTTTCATCTGTTAGGTTTTCATACATTTCTTTCATGATGTCAAACCTAACAAATGAGTATATTGTCATCAAGTTTAATCCGCTATTATCCCTAAACCTGTTAATAACATCTTTCCAGAATTCTTCGTTTTCATCAACTGATGGCAAAGGGTGTCTTTTGACGAAATCCTTTATTTTGTTTAACTCGTCATCTAATTCCTTTTTATAACTGTCATTATCATCATCTTCTTCGTCTGATAGCACCCAGTTTGATAAGTCAGCAATCACTCCGACATTTTCAGTCATATTTTCACTTAATATAATAAGTTAATATTTCTTTAAGTAGTTTTTTATTTTATGTTAAGGGGCGGGGTTTTTATTGAAAAAATATTTTCTAACAATTTAATATAATGGCGAGATTAACAAAAGACCAAATAATCAGCAACATCTATTACGACTTAGACGAGGGTTTCGGAAGCACACAAGCGACACACAAGAAGGCAAAGGAAGAAGACCCAACAATAACATTAGACGATGTAAAGTCTTTCTTAAAGAAACAGCCAAATAAACAAATCAAAAATTATAGAGGAACTAATTCCTATACCGCTCCATTCGCACGATATGAATATCAAATAGACATAATGCATATGTCTCCTTTAGCAAAAGACAAGAACGTTCCACAGTATGCTTTAGTCGTGATTGACATCTTCAGTAAATTAGCAGATGTAATACCGATGGAGGAAAGAGACGGAGAGAACGTTTTGAAGGCGTTGAGAGCAAGCTTTAAAAAGATGGGTTATCCGATGTCCGTGTATTCTGATGACGACGGAGCGTTTGCAACTAAAAATCACGTTCAGGATTTCTTCAACAGTGAAGGAATAAACCACATCGTTACGAAGACCCACGCAAATGTGGCCGAGCGTTTTATTAGAACGATGAAAAACAAAATTCACGATAGAGTTAGGTTTAACAACATGAAATGGACCGACGCCCTAACGCCGGCATTGAAACAGTATAACAGCACATCTCACTCATCAACAAGGATGACACCGTCTGAAGCACACAAGGACGAGAATGAAATAAATGTAAAGGTCAATCTTAAACTACGAGAAAAAAACAAAAGAAAGTATCCCAGAATAGTGGAGAACGACAAGGTAAAAGTGTTTCAAAAGAAAAGGGGTAATTACACCGACAGAAAGGAGTATAACTCTAAATGGTCTAATAAAATATTCAATATCGATAAAATTGAATATGATATTATGGGTAATAAAACTTACAAAGTAGCAGAAATAAACAAACCGCTTTTGAGACACGAAATTTTGTTAGTTAATGATTAAACGTATTTCTTGGTGTCTTCTTTATACTTGACTTGATAGTAATCCAGACTTGATTGTTTAGGTTCTTTTATGATTTTTTCATTCAGTTTTTTAACATAAATGTTTCGTTTATTTTTGTATTCGCTACTGTCTCTATCTACTTCTTTTGCTTGATAATTGTTATTGTTATCATATGTAGGTTTAATATTCAAGCTCTTTAAGATTTTCAGTATGTTTTCATTTTGCTCCAACACTTTTTCTAATCTTGGAAACAACAACTCTAAACTACTGTCAATGTTCGCTAAATGTTCCTCCATATATACTAAATTATAAAACTAAACTTTTAAAACTAAATGTTGCAATTATGTTAAATCTACTCTTTAAATACTATTTTTTCATCATTTGTTTAACAGTTTCCTGAGTTTCCTTATCGCCACTATCGGATGGTGATGCTTGCCGACCCCATTTAAAAGTTATATTATGAACATCTGTTTCTAAGTTTATACTGTCTTTAGTTTTATCAATATTCATTTTCTTATCATTTTACTTATTTTGAAACTTGTCGGAATACACGAACATTTACAATTTCCTTTCTTTTGTATTTCTAATTCATTTTTCATTTCTAACATCTTTTTACACATTGGACAAGCAAACTCAATAACTGATGTTTCTTTAACAATTTCTTCTTTTTCTTCATCAGTCGAAGAAACAACTGGCTCGGACTTATTCTTTTTCTTTCTTCCCATCTATATTAATATTTATATTTTTAATATATTGTATTCCTAACTTAATTAATTCTAATGAATAATAACAACATTTCTTAATTTTATTATCAGTTAGTATTACTTGTTCTATATTTTCTACTTTATCTATTATATCAATATAATCCGAATAACTTCTATTCATATAAAATAATAAATATAAAATATTTTCTAAATAACTTTAATATTATTTTATTATGTCTGATGTTCCAATAATAAAACCAATAAATATAACTGATTACGATTTCAAACAATCTAAATATGAACATGTGCCAAAACTACCTTTTCGCTCAATTGTTGTTGCTTCATCAACGGGTGGCAAAACAGTTTTAATTCAAAACCTTATCCTAAATGTTTATAGGGACTGCTTCGCCCGTATATTCATTTTTAGCCCGTCGGTTCATAATGACCCTACCTTCGTTGAAGTCAAGAAATATCAAAAAGATAATATGAAGGTTGATGACGAAAAAGAAAAGTTATATTATGACACCTACCAACCTGAAGAACTGGAAGAAATAATTAACACACAAAGAAAGATAATTCATTATATGAAAGAACAGAAGATGAAGAAACTACATTCAATTTTAATCATTGTTGATGATTTTGCAGACGACCCTAAATTTGTTAGATACAGCAAGTTATTACATGGACTGGCAACGAGAGGCAGACACGACGCCATTAGTTTTTGCTTAAGTGTTCAAAAATATCGTGTCCTTGCTCCAATCATTAGGTTGAATTCTAGTTCGTTGTATATCTTTAAGTTAAAGAATGTATCAGAGTTAATGTCATTCATTGAGGAAAACTCCGCCATTGTTGATAAAGAGCAACTGTTAAATATGTATCATAAAGCGGTAGATGATAAACCATACTCCTTCTTTTATGTTAATATGAATTCCAAAGATGTTAATAATATGTTTTATGTTAGATTTGAAAAAGCATTTAAAATAAAATAAAGATTGAAATATATTATGATATTTTATGATTTACCATTAGACATTAAAAACCTTGTATTATCTTATAATTTAGGTGATGTTAGATTATTAAAAATAAAAAATAATAATATTATTAAAAATTATATTAGTAAATTTAAACCAGTGTATAAGTCTTACAAATTAAAGAATTCACAGTATTTTGAAATTGATAATATCATTATGAAAAATATTATCAAAAACGGCATATCATATATTTTTAACTTAAGTGAGTTAGATAAATTACATCAAAAACATAAACCATTAAAATTATTAATTGAATATGA